ATCGTGTGGCCGATACAATTCCCATTCGGTTCGGCTCTCCGTTTTCAGCGGTTGTTGTTCGATTTAAAAAAAAAATAAAAAAAAAAAAAAAGAAAAGAAAAGAGAACGAGAGAGAAAAATTAACTGAATTCGATCGCGTTTCAAAGGCGAGAGAAGCTCGTGCCAATCGACGTTGACGGACGCTTTGTATTTGCGTTTGAGAATGCAATCGAACGTTGCCGAATTATGCAACGAAACGATTGCAAATCACGTGGTATTGTAATGGCTGTTATAAATAACCAAGTAGACAATTCTATTTGGTTTCCCCGCGATAGAAATCTACGATTGTGCACAAATATGCTAATATTATTCTCCGTGCGACGTTTCCACGCGAATTGATTTTAATTGCACGTCCAATCGCACGACTTGCGGGAAACAAAGTGAAATCCATGAAAGATATTCCCGTGCGAAACGGGAGAGGGAATTCCGCGTGCCCGCGGCAGAAAATCGAATCAATTAACATGCCGGCTAACGAGCTGTCGATCAAGTCGACCAGAGGCTGGTTCTCGACCAAGCAAGCCACCTCCACTCCCTTCTTATCGAATCAACGGGTCCCGGACACCAGCACCCGAACGCCATTATATCGATACGTGGAAAACGAGTCCGGGTAAACAGACCGCGGATGAACGCGCGGAGGACCGAGGAATATTCCAGTCATGCGTCACGGGGTTAAGGAGAGGGCGTGTTGGCCGCATTGATTTACGTAGAAGAGGACAGGACGTCGAGAGGGATGGCTTGGAGAGGGCCACGAGGGGCGGTGGGACAGGCGCGAAGAGAGAACGAGAGGAATCAGAGGGAAGCAGAGAGAAAGGGAGAATCCGAAGCCACGTAATCGGAATAGTCGATTGCCAACCCCCTTACCTCCGTAGGCAGCCTCCGTTTTCCTCTTGCTTCTCCTTCTTCCGTGTCAGATCCATCCTCTGACTGTGGGTCCACCCTTCGCCAGCAGGTTACCTGCACCCTGCCTGGCTGGCTGGCTGGCTGGCTGGCTGCCTCCCTTTCCGACACCCCCCTTGGTCGCGTGGATACGTGGTCGAACCACCGCGAGGATACCGTATAATTATCGGATGCCAGGTAACTCGAACGCTCTCGACCGGTTTTAATTGGCCAATTATCGTGGCGCGAATAGAAGTGGTGCCGTCGGTCCAGATAGGCGTGAAACTTTTGGGGTGGCCGGCGTACAACGAGCGACAACACAGCGCGACTTTCCTCTCTGACGAGTATCTTTTGGCATCGTTGGCCGTGCCAGGGGCTAGCTCGTAGGGAAGATCGAGGCTCTATCGTTTTCGTTCTATCCTTGTATATCTACACGAGCACGTGCGCGTGTACGTGTACGTGTACGTATACGGATGTTCACGATGAGATACGGTACAGAGCGTGTGCACGTGTGTGCGCGCGTGGACGGGAGCGAATCGTGGATCGGGATCAGAATCGGGAGCACGAACGGGCGCAAATTGGTCACGGCTGGTCTGTTCGATCTCCGTTCCAAACTACCCCCTTCCCCCTCCCAACACGGCTCTCCTCCGATTCTACCTTCCATCGTCCTTTCTCTCTTTCGCCTATCATCTCTTATTCTATATTTACGTCTTTCTCTGCCGGGTTCACCGCCGGTATCGCTCGCTCTTTGTCCCGGCTCACCCACTGTCTATCGATCTATCCTCCTCTAACACCTACGTGCCCCGTGTGCCACCCTCTCTCGCTCCGCTCCTCCTTTTGCCACCGGTCTAGCCATCTATCTATCCACCTAGCTTGCTCCTCGACTCGTGCACCGTTTCAGAACTATTAGGAACGCTCGCCTAAACCCACATCACTTTACCAGGTAGGGTAATCCGGCAGTGTGCTCACCTGCGACCTCGCAACCCCTTTTCCTCCCCTAACCTATTCGATGTTTAACAACCTGTTCTTTTCTTTATCCCTCGTTCACGATGATCCGATGATAAAATGCGTTTGAAAGTCGCACGTCGACCGTAACACGTCTCTCTCTCTCTCTCTCTCTCTCTCTCTCTCTTTTCATCTTCTGTCCCTTCTTTCCTTCGTTTCACCATCAGAGCACAAACACACTTTGTAGTAGCTCTCCCCGCGTTTGTCAACGTAAGAAAGCTTTTGTCAGGGAGATAGTTAAACCGAGCAACAACGAGAGCAGCGCGGCGGTGGCACGCGCGGGACGGTGAGCGGGCGCGGCGGCCGCTGCTCGGCTACATTGTCGGTGTAAATTTTTAATTAAGCTTTGGTGGCCGGCTGCAAATTGAGCTGCAGCCGGCGCGTCGGCATTCAATGCAGTAAATGCACCGTGCACGCCGTACGTGTCATTTACGAATTAAATTAATTTGTTAGTTCTTATGCGGTGGCCGGGCGAGCCGGGTACGAAATAAATTTACGATAATGCTCATTAGCCGGGAGCGGCGAGAGCGCCGCGTCGAAAATTAGTCCGGCCGCCAACTACCAGCCCCTGGAAAACCATCGCTCTCGGTCGTTCCATCCGTCGATGCGCCGGCAGCCGCGCGCGCGCCGAAAACGATGCGATTACGCGATTTCCCGTACCGCCGGGGAACATCTGTACGGACACCAAGTAAAACTCGACCGATAAAGCCGTCGCGTACGATTATAAATATTTGATCTGCTTCATTATGCTATCGATTCGCGACGCGGCCGTCGACTCGCGCTCTCTCCCGCCCCCCCCTCCCCCCCCCGGCCTATTATTACAGCTTATTAACGGGGGATCAGAGGAGCTTTTCAGCCCCCAGTCGCGTTTCCGTCGTCCAAGGTCTTGGGAATATACGTTTCAATCATTTAACCTTTCTGCACGTGCAGTGATCACAACCGGTGCTGTCCTCTCGGTGCTCGGCGTTTACGTTTAATTAGTGAAACGGTTTTCAAAGCAAGAGAGACGTCTTTTGCCTCGCGTGTGTCTGGCAGGAGCAGAGAAATTCGCGGATTTTCATCTCGAGTTCTCCAGCTTTGGGAACGCTAATTTTTCGAGTGTCGCGAGTCCGTTTACGTCCAGTTAATTAAAGCGATCTTTTCGCATCTTTAATGTCAAAAATGCGGTCGGACATCTTTAATGGGTATGCAGGATTCTATGAGTTTTGCAATTTCAAGACAAACGTGAAACGGAGGATACTTGGAGGAGTAAAAATTCGCGGATTTAATCTCTCGCTTCGGGAATGCTAGCGTAAAAATGCAAAACTACTTGTCAATTCAAGATAAAAATTACACAATTTTAAGACAGGCTAGTTAATTAGCTCTCAAAGCAGAAAAGCGAAAGCACAAATTCCTAGATGTTTCGTCTCATATTCTCACTTTCAGTTTGAGAGTGCTGATCCAAACAACGCTTTCTCGAACGCGATCGAGCGTTTTCAAAAGGGGTCGACGTCAGGTTGCAAGAATTACGCAATTTTAATGGAAACAGAACGGTCGCTCGGGCAACGTTAATTGGACCCTTAGTTGCGAAGGAGCGTTTGCGTAACCTTCGCAACTAAGGGTCGTCGTCGATCAAACTATTAATAGGACGCGTCGCGATCGTCTCGCTTGATCGGTCATCGAATGATCCGGCCGATCATGGACAGGATTGGAGGGGGCAGGGGGGAGGGGGAGTGCTATGGAGGCGAGTGTCTCTCCAATTTCGTGGAAAGAATCGATCATCGCCGGCAGAGCAGCGGTGTCAATCTCGTCGAACGATTGGGCCCGAGCTAATTCGATGATGATCGGAGAGAGGCTTCCATCATGAACGCGAGCCGAACGACAAACAAGGTAGGACGACCGCGCTGATACGAGCTCGAATGGAGGCTCAGGGGAGGGAAAAAAAGATGAAAAATCACGACGGCAGAGGAGAGAGAGACAGCGCGGTACGAAGGACAAAGGAAGAGAGGGTTGATTGGAGGAGAGGGAGGGCTCGGTATTGCAGGCTCATCCGGCAGTTACGTTCGATTGGCTGGCAGGGCGGTAGGCCAGCAATTACCTAAATGGTCGGGTAAACAATATCCGTGCGCCGAGTTAAGAGCGGCGGCGGCGGTAGCAGCAACAGCACCAGCACCAGCACCAGCACTAGCAGAGCACCGTGAACAGCAACAGTAGCAGCGGTGGCGGCGGCAACAGCAGCAGCAGCAGCAGTAGCTGGTTCCTTCATCCGTCGGTTGGTCGGTCGGTCGGTCGGTCGGTCGGTCGACCGTATAGTATTAATTCTGATTTGCTCTCGCCTTTATCCTGAGTCAAACAGAGAAATCACGGACGAAGGATCGAAGGAGCGAATGGGAAAGCAACGGAGAGAGAGTCTTCGTTGTACGATGTGTACGCGTGCATGTGTAAGAGAGAGTGAGAGAGAGGGGGAGGAGAGAGAGAGAGAATCAGAGATACCTACCATAGCCAGCACGATTATACTCCCGGCACGATTACTGTACACAACGATCCTGGAGGCGCACCACGCGCTCCGCCCCCGCCGGCGAACACACCAAGATCATCGACAAACCCGGCAGCGTTTCACGATCACGAATACCGGGAGCGAGTAGAGCGTGCTACTCCTCCACACATCCTCCGTGAAACGTTGAACGATGGCAACGTGCGTGGAGGGAAAAGCGTTCCTCCATCGACAGCGTCGGCGGCGGCGGCGGCGGCGGCAGCGGCGGTGGCGGCGGCGGCGGCGGTGGTGGTTAAATCAAAGACAAACCACTTTAGCCGGTCGGATCGCGGGACGAACTGAGAGAGTGGGGTGAGAGTGGGCCGGATAGAACGGTGGCAAGGGGGAGGAAAGGTAGACTCTGTGTGTACATACCCGAGTATCTGGCGAAAGCTCGCTCGTGGGGCCGCGAAACGTCTGCACGAGGCTCCGTTTCGTGTTCGTGCCCGTCCATTCAGTCCCGATGCCGATGTCTGAGTACGTCTTCGTGATCGTGTACGTTCGCGCGCACGTGAACCAACACCTACACTCACACACGCATACACACGCCAACACCAAGAATCGCTCGTGGCAGCCACCACGAACAAGGGGTAGCACGTGTGTGCGCGCAACCCCCGCGGAACGTAGACGTGCACGCCCCTCGGACGATACCGGGATATTCTGGTAAGCCAGCAGGGGTTGGACACGCCCATTCGAGGCGGAACAGCACCCCACCAGAGGGTTCGAAGCTTTCCGCTGCGACTACGTTCGTACGACGGTTCTTCGCTACTAATAATACGCCGATATACCACCTATTCAGCCACCATGGCTCTACGTGGAAGTCCCGAGAGCAGCTTTTACGGGACGCGCGCGGCTTCTGTCTACCAAAGACACTGCTAATCGCGCGACCGACCACGCTGATCGCTTGGATTCCCGACGCGACGATTTCTCTCATCCGTGAACGTCGTCGTCGTCGTCATCGTCGTTTCGTCGGATGCGGGGACCAGTTCGGTGAACAAACTCGAGGCGTGTTTTTTTCAGAAGGAAGGAAAAAAGAAAAATTCGGTGTGTAAAAAACGACAGTTCAGGAATCAGTGACATGACCCCACTGGGAAGGTAGAGTGTGACGTATCGTCGGTTGTCGGTGTGAGTGATGTCTCGAGGAACCAGGATGTTACCCGCTGTTTGAAGTTTATCGACGCGAGTGTGCACGGTAAACAGACGCCGGATAAGTGTTTTCCAGCAACAAGACGGAATGGAGGATCGAGAGGTGAGGTAAAGAGGAATAACCGCGAGGGTTATGTGGAGGATGCAGGAAGGCAGGACCGTGTCACCTTTAGGACCGGTCGTCCTACAGCGGGAAGAAGCGGATATGCGTGCCGGGCTGTCGCTGCCACCTCAAGAAAGGAGGCACGTGTTGCTCCACGTACGCACCAGCGAGCCTTTCGTCCGCTACGACAACGTGCGTCAGCAACACTCGCCGTCGACCTCGCCGATCCTGCGGTCCGTCGACAAGGACCAGTTCCACGAGATGGACGCATCGTCGGCCAGGGAGAAGAGGATGGACACCACCGAGGTCGAGGAAGAGGAGGAGCAGGACGAGGAGGAAGAGGAAGACGGGGAGCACGAGAGGAACGTATCGTCAGCCAGGAAGAACATCGCCGAGGACGAGGAAGACGACGAGGAGCAGGAGGAAGAGGAGGAGGAAATGCATCCTGTGGATAGAAACGGAAGCTACCAGGAAGACGAGGAGGTCGAGGTGGACGTTTGTCGAGACGAAGTGGACGAGAGCAATCCCAGCAGTCCCGTCGACTTGACAGCTCCTTCGTCCAGAGGCGGTGGATCCGATCAGTTCCTCAACCCGTTTGCGAATCGCGGCGTGCATCCTTTCTCGTGCGTGCAAAGTGGACAAACTGCTGCCCACGGGACTCCTGTGTACATATCCGCGCACGCCGCCGCCGCGTCCACCGTCTGCACTTCCGGAAACGCAGCTCGAACAACTGGCACGTCGACCGGTAGCAGCATCACCACCACCGCCAGCACCGTCCAGGCGAACAAACGATGCCTGGCGTTCTCCGTGGAGAACATCCTGGACCCGAACAAGTTCACCGGCGGCCGCGTTGTTCACAGTCGCGTTCAACACCGACGACATCGGCGGGCCGACAGTGTGCACGAAGGTGATTAGTCCTGGTTTCTCCTCGGACCAAACGATCGTCTCTGTGGATACAAAGAGTACAACGCTTTCGTTCGTTTTCACGACTTTGTATGAAATCAACGACATTGATTTCGCCGAATACTAATTAACCGATATGATGAAATCACTGACAATGTTATTTCATCGACACTCGTTTCACCGACAATGTTTTCATCTATATTTGCACCTATAATTAATTATCAATCTACAATTACACCTTAGTTATTACTTTATAATACTTCGTTATTTTAGATGAACAATTATTTCGTTATAGTTAATATGTTTAATATATCAATGTCAATGTCGGTGAAACGGTGTCGGTGAAATAACGTCGGTTAGGACGTTGTTGGTGAAATGATTGTCGGTGATTTGATACAAACCCCGACAAAGTTCGATCTTATCCGTGAGAGATTTTTCAAAGTATATATTGTCGGTAGTACGGAAGATTGAAAAGATTCAGTCCGATGACTTAAGCTTAACTGAGAGGCAAACAACTGATAGTTTTAAAACCAGAGCTGGCGTCCGATCAAGTTCCCGTCAATTTCAGTAGAATAAGCCGGGCCATTACAGACACGATATACCATCATCCTCCACTGTAAATCTCGCCTAAAAGATGGTCGCGACCGATTAATCCGGACGAATCTGTCGCGTTCGAGCGACTGGTAAAGCCACCGCGGAGGCTTTTTCTCCGCGAGGCAACATGTTTATTGCTTCCTCCTTACTCGCGCGGATCTTCCTTGCCTCGTAACCGTTCGCCAAAACACGGCCCAACGCGTTCGCTCTTTTTTTTTTTGTTTTCCTCGAGGAACATATGGGCCTCGTCTTCCATGGGCGACGATCCCGTCTTGATCTTGAACGTGATTTTTTTCGTCTTCGTGAATCGGGGTGCATCTCCCTTCTTCTCGCGGCTGAGCTCGTGCCCTCTCGCTTCTTCCTCGTTCTAACTTTAGACGCCTGGAAGGATGGCTTGTTCCCCGTGCGTCTTGCAATTTCCCCTGTTTCCGAGTTATTTGCGTGGACGGGAGATTCCGGCAAAAGTGACGATGTAGACGCGTTACTGAGAACACGGGAACCAGACCGGTCGAAACGTCGTCGTTTCTGTCGTTTCTAATGCCATTTCCCGCCTGGCTCGTTTCCTCGTGATCCACTCGAACCGCTCGATACGGCAGAACCGTATGATCGAAGTGAAAACAAAACACCGCTGTTCAACGTCAACGTCAACTGGACATCGCGTAGCATAATTCATCGGGATTTTTTTCATCCGTCATCCAAGAGGTCAATCAACGGGAGAAATTTTCATTTGCAATGAGAAACGAGTGGTCGAACGAGAGGCAGGTGAAATCGTCGGGTTTATTAAATTCTTTGCGTCGAAACGATCTAATCCGGCGGGCATCTGCCGCGGAAAGCTTATCTCCTCTCGATGATCGAATTGAGAGCGGGCGCGCGCGCGGAATCCCAATTTCACAGTTGACTTTCGAATTTAATGGAGTCTGGCGGACAGATAAGAGGAAGAATTCTGGGCGCCGATAACCGGCGGTAGGAGAGGACGTTGAGGAGAGGGCTGGTGCGGGGGGAAGGGTGGAGGAGTGAAACGACGTAGAAACAGAGGAAAGGAACTCACCGTTGGCTGACGAGGGGTGTAGGAGGTTATAGACGCAGGGAGGGGGTTCGCGAGGGCGGCCTGTCGGAGCGTGACAAATTGCTCCGCTAATCTGCGTTAACCAGTCCTTGAACCCCATCATTATCGTCCCTTTATCCCGGTACGGGACACTGGCTGCAAACGAAATCAACCGACACTGTCAGACGATGCGAGGCGTCTTCGATCTTCGAGAGTCGGAAAGAAAAGTAAAATCAGATCCGATCCGGAAACGTGGGAAGGAAAATCTTCGGACGAACGGATGGAAAGGAAGAAAGTCAGGTTACGACAAACTAGAAGGAGAGAAAAGGGGGAGAGAACGTTTCTTGGAGGATCGATCGCGGCGATGAAATCGGGATTACACGATTCTCAGGCCATCCATCTTCCAGGGTGGTCAGGGTACCCATTAAAAGTGCATCAGAGCCAGCCGGCCGATCGGTGAAATCCGTTTCGACTGCTGCTAGCGGCAAACGGTATCCGCCCCCACGGCAAATCCGGCGACGGAATAATATCGTCGGTTGTTATGATAATCGCGCAGCATCGCGGCGTATCGCGTCGCATCGCGCCAAGCCGCCCAGAAAATTGGCTCTTCTGCATCATAATGACTTCTCTCGTCGTCCCCGCGTTTCGTCCCGCCACGCTCTACGCCCCGTCCCCCTTTTGCACACGCTACCGATCGTCGCCGGAGAATATCTCTTTCTCTCCCCTTCTCCCTTTCTCTCCTTCTCTCACCCCCAACCCCTCGAGAGACTGGCTGATTCAAAATCTCCTGGATTTTCCGCTAGATTTCTAGAAAAATTGTAATTACCGCTCGCTAGCTCGCCGCTGGATACCGTTAAACGCTCCTCCTCATGTTGTTTTTCTTATCGAAGCCAGCCAGATGATATCGCGGTCGCTCGTTAAGGGAACGATTCCACCACGTTGCACGGTGGTCCAGTCATTGTTCCCAGGCTGCGTACGCGCGCCTCCATTGTTCCCGCACGGCGACATAATATGATAATTGCTCGTATTTTCCCTCGCTAGCACGCCTCGCGATAACGATAACGGGCGCGAAATTTGTAGCGACTTTAAAGTAAGAAAGTACGAGCTTTCTTCGTCGCGGACGGGAAGGATTTCGAAGATAGCGTTCAGAAGAACCTCTTCTTGGACAATGGGGCGTAATATAGTCAACTTGTTTAACACGGCCGGATAATTAGACCGGAGCTAACGGGAACAATCGTTCCGCGTCTGGTGTTTGGATCGTCGCTGGTAAAAGCAATTTCAACCCCCCTCCGCTCCCCCCCCCCTCCCTCCCCTTCGTGCCGGATCAATCAACGCCACCGCAATATTTCCTCCCCACAGATTTTAGACACGTGGCGTATGTTTCTAACCAACGAGCTCGGCTATTACGAAGCTGCGTGTCCCAACGTCCGACCTGATTATTCCGACTCTTACCATCTATAACTGGCTGTCGGCTGATAAAACAAACAGACGCCTTTCGATCGAGTCGATCGCGATCAACGTTCGTGGCTCGTTCGTCTTCTCCCTATTGGCTGAAATTTGGATCGAGCCTAGTATCGTCCGTGGCGCCGGGCTACGATCCAAGAGACGCGTCTCGCACGCTTCGTCAACGTCATCATCGACGAAGGATCGAAAAGGGGGAGTGGAGTACGCGCGTATTCCCCAGGTTACGGCGCTCGGTTGTCAAACGCTGTCATTGTGCTTAATGAGGAAAACCGAAATAAGTGTTCGTGACTGTGCCGATGTCCCCTGTGCCCCCTTACGGTGCCCCCTGGGGAGTCTACGCAACCCCCGATCATCGCCTTCTCTCCCCTCCCCCCGCTCCGCCTCGTGTTGGACTCGCGATCGTGTTTAATGAAGAAGATCTAAACGAGATAAATGATTCCGAGCGGTGATGTCGCCATAAAGAGTCGATGAACGAACCGATAAGAAACAAACGGCTGTTGTGGATGCGTACGAGCTTAATTGTCCGAGACGCTTTGTAATGGTGTACATTGGTGTCGCGTACGATCGATTCGACGATAGAACGGACGGATCATCGAGTTGACCGAGAGGAACAGGAGGAATGGAAGATGGCTCGTTCGAAACGCCGTTGATTCGTTTCGAGCGAGGTTGAAAAATTCAACGTCTCGCTTCCCAAACCTTCCCCCCCCCCTCCCCTCCTCTGTCCACCCATCCCTCGCGGATAATCGGGAAGGCTAAGCAACCAACTGACAGCAATCGGTCCAGCGCGGCGTGAAAAACGTAGCAGCAGCTGGTGGCCGGTGAAAAGAGACGACAGACGAGGAACAATATAAATTACGCAATTCAATTAGACGCAATCAATCGGCGCGCACGCATAGAAGATAGAGGGAGAAGAGAACGAGGAAAGGGAGAGGAGATGTGTAGCTTGCGGCTCACGGTGCGCGGAGCTGAAAGATACGAGGACCAGTGGCGGAAATAGGCAAAGAAAGAGGAAGCGAAGGAAGAAGAGAGAGGTGGCAGAGTCGGTCGGCGGCCTGTACGACGGGGCAAGAACGATCGCGCGTTAACGAGATACAAATCCCATTACGGCGTAAACCTTCTCGATCCGTCGCCCCCTACGGACTTCCAACCCCCAGGCACAGTGCTAGGCTACGGGCTATGGGCCACGAGCCACGCCAATTCGGATAAAGTTCCACCGTCTCTCTCTCTCTCTTTCTCTCTCTCTCTCTCTCTCTCTCTCTCTTTCGATTTCTCTCTCCTCGTTCAAGCTCCGGTCTCGCTCTTTTTCCTTTCGCTTCTCCACCGCGTGTCTTCCTCTCTTCTCCACCGATATACCCTAAGTGTGTGTGTGTCTGTGTGTGTGTGTGTGTGTGTGTGCTCCTGTCCTCTCTATCCATCTCTTTCAATCTCGTACCACCGCCAAACCTCCCTCTTTCTCTGTCTCTGGTTTTATCCGGAAACCTATCCCCAGCCCCTCCCCGAACCTCCCAGGGGCGCCCCAACCTCCACGGACCAGAGCCAGGGAATATCTGTCCCCGGGACATCTGCGTGCTGATTGAATCTCCAATCTCCTCTCTCATTGAGCGAACGATTGGCCGCTCTTTCTCTTTCCCTCGTTCGAGGCGGTCGGCTGGCCGCTACCTCTCTACGGGTTTCGCGCGTTTCAATCGTTTGTCGGCTGGAGAGATCGGTTGGTCGGTCGGTTGGTCGGTTTGCCCCATCGTCACTCGGATATCTCCGCCTCGAGTACCTTTTCGCGATTACAAACTGTCTCGAGCAAACAGAAATTAAATTAAATGCGGCTCGATATGCGGGCCAGCTTTTGCCACCGCAGCGACGACACGCTCGTTAAACTGATTGCCGATAGAACGTAGCACGGCCGTACGCGTTCCAAGCCGGCTGCGACCACGGGCTCCGCGATCGCGGTGACGGTGTAAAAGGGTTTCACCACGAGGTCGCAACTTCCATTTAGTTATACACTCTTCCGACTATTTTCCCACTTTTTTCCCATTTTTCTCTTTCTTTTCTCTTTTTCTTCTTTTCCTTGTTTTTTGTTCCCGTTTCTATTTTTAATACGATATCGAATTCGAACTCGACGCATCTTCCGCGTCTCGACGCGGGTACAGCAGAGTGTGAAACAGCGGCCAGGATCGCGTTACCGCTTTGTCATAGGTAAACCGACACCAACGGCGCAATTTTATACCCCCCCTGTGGCGTAATCAATTTTCGTCACACAACACCGTATCGCTTTCCTTGCCACGGTAATCTTCCTCCGCGAGACGTTCCCCGCTGATCCTCCGGTGTTATTGCTATTTTCAGATGGGGACTCGCGGGGCGAGTTCGCCTGCGGCAGCGGCCAGGAGGACGAGGAGGGCACACCGGACACGGGCATGGAGGACATGGACGAGGATCCGGACATGGAAGAGGAAGATGACGAGGACGTGGAGATGAGGGTGACGGACAAGGAATCCTCGAACGCTGGCCGGGAGAGTAGTACCACCGCCGTGAGCAACGTTCCAACGTCCAACTGCAAGAAGAGACAATCCTCCTCGTCCTCGTCGTCGTCCAGCAGCGTTCAGGCTCAAGGTTGTCAAGGTCAGAACCAGAGCAGCCAGAACGGCACCAGCGGAAGCGGCGGCACCGGTGGCAAGCCGAGAAGAGCCAGGACCGCGTTCACGTACGAACAGCTGGTCGCTCTGGAGAACAAGTTCAAGACCACCAGATACCTCTCTGTCTGCGAACGTTTGAACCTAGCCCTGTCTCTCTCGTTGACGGAGACCCAGGTGAAGATCTGGTTCCAGAATCGACGAACCAAGTGGAAGAAACAGAACCCAGGACTGGACGTGAATAGTCCTACGGTACCCACCACGCCGCCGCATCCTCCGCCTTACACGCCTGCCTTCCTGTTCGCCACGCATCCTCATCAGCATCCGCTGCCGCACTCGCACACGCATCCCCATCCGCACGCCCACGTCCATCATCCACCGCCCGTGCCACCACCGCCACCTGGCTATTATCACCCAGCCGCGCCACCTTATCCTCCGACAGGACCGACGTTCTTCGGTCATCACCTGTCTGCCACCCCCGCCACCGCGTCCGGCCCACCGCCAACCTCCACACCATCCTCCACGGGCCTTGCACTGTCGACGCATACGCATCCGCATCCGCACACGCATCCGCACGCGTAGCGAACTCGACAATTCATCCCGCGGACGTCGTCTTCGCCTTCATAGTCGTCTTTGGTGTTCCGGCTGATTCGCACTCGAGAGATGCAGGTCGACCGAGAGAGAAGAAGAAGAAGAAGAAGAAGAAAAAGATAGAGAGAGAGAGAGAGAGAGAGAGAGAGGGGGAGAGAATGCAATTGGTATGAAAGAGAAACTATTGTTATATACATATGACGTTTGAATGACATCGGTTGCGTTGCGACGCAATCGTGTAGATGAATATTTCGATAAGATAAATAAGGGTGGATTAGGTTTGGGGAGTTTGAAGAGACTGATTCTGCCGGGCGAGCGTAGACAGTTGGGTATGTAAGATTGTGTACGATAGGAGTTTACGAGTCGCTTTGATCACGTCGAGCAAGTGTCTCCTGCGGACTTTGATTCCAGCTTCGTTATTTGTAGATACGTCTTGCGTTATGTCCCGAGCTGTCGAACTCGTCAAGATCTGCACGAGGCACTGTTATATAAATGTAAATACCGTGACGAGAGAGAAAGGGAGAGAAAGAGAGAGAGAGAGAGAGAGAGAGAGAGAGAGAGAGAGAGAGAAAGAGAGGCCATTCCGTTCTTCGTCTTCGAGCAGCACTCGATCGAGGACTCGTGTCGGCGCCGTGTGGTTTATGGAAGTAAGCACGTACGCTCGAGGCCGGGTTTTTCGTTCGTTGTTGCTACTTCGTGTCCGTTGATAGTCGCACGTGGGACGCTTTCGATAGGATAATCGGTTTACGCGGGGTGACGTGCGGGAAACGAGCGTATCTCTTGGAGGATACTGTCGGATCGTTTAAAATTCGTCAACACACGCGCGAGAAAGAGAGAGGAGGAGAGGGCGGGAAGGGAAAAGTGAGAGAGAAAGGGAGAAGGGAATCTGTCGGCCGAGCGGAAAGATAAATACGCGGTGATACGCGGCCGAAGAATAACAGGCGCTCGATTACAGCCCCGCGCGTAAACCGCGCCCCTTTTCGCTCGGATATATATAATTAAAAAATCCGAACGAACAGAGCAACGGAGCAACGAGCGTCGGCTTGTTTCGCATTTCCACGCCCCACGATTATATTCGCGATGACGTTCGCGGCGTTCACCGGCAACAACAACTGTGTGAAAACGCGCGCCTGACCAAAAGAACGAGGAACGAGGAAGAAACGAGAACGAAACGAAAGGGACGAAAGAGGGTGGAATTAAAAGAGCGAGATGGAAACTGTCGCCTCGTCGTGTTGTTTTTCTCGCCACCTTCGTTGTAACATATGCCGTTTGGTCGCTGCGAATGAGAAGCGTTTTCGTTCTAAAAACGAGGTAAACTTTATCAAAGAAAGAGAGAGAGAGAGAGAGAGAGAGAGAGAGAGTGTGTGTGTGTGTAGAAAGAGAAAAAAACGAAAGAAGAAGGAGACGGAAGAAGAAAAAATGAGGGAAACGCTGGTAGCTTGTAAGGTGTGCGTGAGAGTAAACGGGAGAGAAAGAGTTGGCCAGGTGTGTGTGTGTGTGTGTGTGTGTGTGTGTGTGTGTGTGTGTGTTGCACGTCGCGAGTGGATGAGCGCGAAAGGATTTAGCGAGCAAATTTTTTGTGCTGAACTGCAAAAACTGAACCACGTCGGAACGCAGTGGAACGTTCCTGTGTAAAATAAAATACCGTACGTTACACTCGTAAGCCTTTGCCAGTAAATACACGCAGATTATCCCATACAGCATACGCGTACCACGCGACGAAAGATCGATCGCGTCTGTACGCGATCCAGGTGCAACTGCAAATCGAGCATACTTTGCGTATTATGCGTTCCCATTTTCAATGATCCTCTGGAACAATGGGTTCCATCGCGAATCCTTTACGTATCGGCATTGTACGTTTCCCGTTTCCCGTTTCCCGTTATACCAATATGGAACCCCCGTTGTTATCGCCCAAATTTTTTTGTTGAATGTAATTCTGCGAAACCGTGGTTATTATGAAATTTTTGAATTCGCTTGTATTCCTTTCTACGTGTGCTTCGTACACGTTACATTTTTTATAGTTCCATAGAACCATCGTGAAATTCCAAAATTCCACACGTATTTCCATTTAGATGTAATAGCTTGTGTGTATTAGAGATTTCCATTTCCAATGATTGCACGAAACCATTTAATTTTGAAATTTCCAGATTTCACATGTATTCCTTCTACGTTCCATGGCTTGTGTGTATACTAGAGATTTCCATTTTCGATGATTCCGCGAAGTTTGGAAACTCTACGTTCCTTTTATGAACGGTTTTGCAACGTTTTGTCATCGCAAAATCTTCAAATTCTCCAATCCTTCTGCGTATGTTTCGGATTTTACACTCCCGGAGGTCATCCTCGCCGCGAAATTTCCAAATTCTACGTTCCTCTTCGTCGTTTCTCCTACTTTTTGTATTTCCGACGAAAATTACAATTTTCTGCAAAAACTATCCTCGTTACAGAATTCCTCTTTACTTTCGTTCGATCTTCTTCTATCCTCCAACCTTGAAGAGTAAAATTCCGTCTAGTCGGACTGGAATCCTAATTACCTTCCACAACTCGCGCGAACTCTGCCCGCTTTTTCTCGATTAACTCTCGTTGCGAGGATAATCATTTAGCCTGTACGTTACGCGTGCAGCCGACGGTTTCGTAGAAGCGAGGAGGCAACGAACAGGGAGGAGGCTGAGTAAGCCGAACCATTAGACCGGGATAGCGGAGGAATATTCCGCGCTTTGAACAGCCGCTCGTCCAGACTCATCCAGGCTTTCCACGCACGGTTCGTGACGCACAGTGGCGGCCTGTTGTCACCAGTCCCAAAGGCAGCCACGTTCAATTGACGGAAAATCACTCGCGCCTTGCTTTGATGCTGAAATTAGAAAACACCGCGTCTCCTCCGCGGAGCTGTCACTTATTTCGCGGAGAGGCGACGCGGACCGAAGGCTTCCTCTGGGACAATGCTAGATCTTTGACGCGCAGAAATTGGTATTTCTGTGATTCGACGCACGCTTTCCTCTCTCTCTGTGGTCGAGGTTCATTCATTTTTACGAAATGAAATGTTCACGGTATTCGAAAAGTTGCAGAAACCGGATCTTGAAGCAAAATTGTTATCAACGCGTAAAAAAAAAAAAAAAAAAAAAAAAAAAACTATTGGAAATCGTCGGACGAAATTGTGCAAATGAGTATAGTCTATCATCAGAGCGTGGGAATTTCGAAAATGCTGAAGATTGTCTCGTAACGAGACACCGATATACATATTAAATGGCTTGAAAGTACTTTGGAATAACGAACGGCGGAATGTTTCATTGACGCGTAGCCAGATCCACCCTGACGCGCTCGAAGATCGATTCGCGTTGACCAACTGAAAAATAGCTGTTCGTCGGTGAACGGGTAATATATCGTTGGAAGCGTGATATCTCCGACGCCATTAGTCATCGACGTTAATGACAATGATATTTCGAACAGTCGGCGTTAGTCCGGTTATACTCGATGAGATTTTTCGACGGGACCGTCCTCCGGGACAGCGTGAATTATTTTTAACCGGCCGCGTTCCCTGGGTCGCGGAATCAGTCCAGAACACTACACGTCGGCCGCAGATGTCATTGGAAATGCCAAATGCCGGATCGATCGACGCTCGTGTTACTGGAAATCGGATGAAAAATCGTGGAATCGGCAGCGAAAATTAGCCTTATCAGACTCACCGTCCGTTCGACCGGAGACAATGAAGAAAAAAAAGACGGCGTTTCCCCCGATGGTGAAGTCTGGCTCCTCTCCGTTTCAGGCGTGCCTTCGTTCCTTTATCTCGACCCTTCGAAACGACGGCGTGTTATCAAGCCAACAGCCAGGGAGGAAGTTAGATCGACGCGAACGGTAATGCGAAAGGAGAGACGCGAAAGAAAGTGGCCCGTGGGTTAGGGAAGATGATCCGAGAGGGTAGGTGAAGGCCGAATGGAAGAGAGCAGAAGAGGCGGCTGTCGCTCGGCCGCCGGACGATTCTCTCGAATTAATTCTTAGGGGTGGATTTGGAAAGGGGCTGCCACCGCTGCCGCCGCCTGTAAGGGGTGTGAGTGGAGCGAGTGGACCGTGAAATAACCAACCCCCCTCCGCGCGACACTCGCGCACCCCAACGTTCACGGAGAACCCTGACACACAGTGGCGTAACCTTGCCGGGTACTACCTCTACTTCTCTCGCCGTGCGCCCGTGGCGATTCTTTCTCGAGGACGCTTAACCTCGCTTGCACCACCGAGAACAAGGATGTAGACAGGGGGCGCTAATTAACGATCTGTCTCGGGACTCTTAGTGCCCCAGACCTCGCGCATCTCCCGAGCTGCCTGGCTCATTAGCGTCGCGAATTAACGATTGATCGACGCTTCGAATCTGGCAAGACACTAAGCTGGAGACCAAGAGGGAGAACGTTTCCTTCCTTGTGCTGGATCGAAATTGCTTGTTCGTACAGGATGACGATAGGATGGGGCTACGTGAAATACATTGAATTGCCGGTCACTCGTCGCGGAGACCATTTCCAACGACATTTTTTTCATCGTGAAAACTTGGAAGTTCTTGATAAAAGAAACACACTTTCAAGTCGTAATCAACAGATAGGAATTTTGAATTGCAAGTCACTTGTTAGGGACCATTTTTACCGATCATTAATAACATCTTAACATGTGACAAACATACTATGACGTATATTCGTTAACTCCGTCAATGTAGATATACGAAAACAAATTTCTTCTAATGATATTTCCTAGTTTGTTTTAATTTATTGGCTGCGTTTTACCATGTGGCTTTCGGTTTACACGTTCCAACAACATTCCATTTTAAAAACATCGTCGGGAATAATTCCGTTTGTGAAAAGTTTTGAAAATTCGATGACAGAAGGTGTAATCAAAAAATGTGTAAATAATTACACTATTAAAATTATATAATTACACTCGTAAGATAAACTGAACAACATACGAACAACGGCGACCGATAGATAACAAAAGTTTCACTTTCTCCGTTTCTCGTCGCCACCGTCATATGGCTAATTCCATTTAATATTAATCCACGATTAAACGAACATCCCGTAGTAGCCATAAAAGAAGCGACATAAATTCCCTCCCTCCCGCTTAACTAAAACCAAGGGAAGTCACCTAAATTCCCAGTCCCTGCGGCACGTTTCCGCTTAAATCCTCCCGGCCGGCTCGTTATCAGCCGCGAGAAATTACCGTGAAAAGACACACCGGGCGGGGTAGGAAGTCGCTCCGGCTAGAGTTACCAATTATCCACGGTCAACCGCCTATTCCCTTTGTCCCCGCCTTCGCTAGTTTCCGGTGCACAGAAAGCGGGTGCACAGGCTACGGCAACGCTTGTACACGGATCCTCGGGATTCGTGTGCGGATTAGCAGTTTGAGGTCGTCGAGTCGCACGCATCGAGAGCAGCAAGGCACGTCACTGCAGTCAGCCTGTTCCACTTAAGCGTGTAATAGCTCAATAGCTGTCGTTCCCGTGTCTGCGAATACGAACGAGGGGGTAGGAGGAGGAGGGGGGAGAGAGAGAGTCACCCTGGTTGCGCGTGCACAACCTCCGCCCGTATTTATAGACTCGCCTCCGACCGAAATACTTGCCCGAAAATGATGTTGCCCACGATGTGTGTATCTGTGTGTCCTTCGCTCTTGAGAGAAGTTTCGCGGAACGGGAGAGACGTTGCTTCAGTTAATTGGTCCAGGATAACCTAACGAGACTATCCGGTCTTGCACGGCCGGGGGATTAGAATCGACGAAAGGGACGCGTTGATCGATGAAATCTATCAATTGAGACAGAAGTGGCGAACCTTCGTCGTTGTGATACAAAATTTGGAGAGATTGGCTTCCACACAGATTCCCTCGTCGATTTAATTGATTTGTCAGCGATGGGCGTCCAATTTATACAGAAATAGGTACAAACGATGTACAATTAACAAATCAGATTACACGATCAAACGGGAGTAAATTTTCGCAAAAGTTGAAGACGAAGGGAATAACATTACGCCTAGACTAAGTTTACAGTTAATTACACACGTGTAATTTGTTGATATTGGTCTCAGGAAACGTAATACACTTTCTCTGAGGAAAGGTTCATTTCAACGCTTGGAAGAATTAGAAAAAGGAGTCGAGAAATAACACCTCGATAGACAACTTGATGGAATCCGAAGGAATTTTTCGAAAATTTCGCGAGAGAGAGTTTGCAGAAGGCGGATTTTTGTGGACGAGTGAAGGGTAAGGGGGAATTGATAAACAGGCGACAGTAAGGACAAGGATCGAGCAATATTTTCGCAGCATCCCTTAGTGGCAGTGGAGGGGGTGCGAGAGATAAAGTCGGTCCTTACGGTGGCGGCTTGATTCCTGGCT